CGCTCGAAGCGCTGGCACTTAGTGCACAAAGTGCGGGGCCAGAGGGGTTCCACTGCCGTCTACGGAATGACGATCAGCTCATTAAATGGCAATAATACCGAGTAAGGCGGAAAGTGAGTATCGATAATAACAAATCCAGCATCCACGAATCTTGAGCAACGATTTTCAGGAGGGAACTAAGATCGCCCGCCGATCCGTGCGACAACTTCTCGTACGTCCCACTCGCATACACGTGTCCTTTCCTCGTCGTAAGGAAAAGGTCGCGTCAGCAAAGGGGATACGGGAGGCTGGCGCCCGATCGAAGGGCGTTCGTAAGTCCACATGTCAATCAATTGCAAAAATTATGAGACGTCATCAAGAAAAACGACGCCCGCGCAACAACCAATCAATTTTTTTTCGACGCGAGAGAGAGAGAGAGAGCACTTATCAGTTTGCTCATGCACTTAACCGAGGGACCGATCCGCGACTCAGGTTTAGTGAGCTGACACGGCGTTGATCCGAGGCGCCTTGTTTTTTTAGGCCGCCTCGGATATCGTTTGCAGATGTCGTGCAACATAAGGCAGATGGCATGCACAGTGCATTCAGAACCACAGATCTAAACTCTCTTGCATTCTCGAGCGAAATCTCATCGAGCATCGAGTCTAATCAATGCAAAAAGACGAGCATTTGCATACATACATCCACTGTGGAAAATGCGAAAAATGACAAGGGGTGCAAAGTTCAAAAATCAACCGAAAAAAAAAATCTGTACACACGCATCCAGCATTCACAAGACAAGAAGATCAATTCCTCGACATCTGGGGATTACCCAGAAAACTGATGGAAGGGTTCCGGAAGAAGTTCAACCGCACGGGAAAGCACACGGAGTCATTCTTATTTACGGGGAGGACAAACTCATGACCCAGCGTCATTCAACTAAGAGAGAAAGAGAAAGAGAAAGATGTCGAGATAGGAGATACGGAGATCCGAAAGAAGACATTCGGCATTGCGGCCGTGCACTCACACCAAAAGATAAAGATCCGCAACAACCAAGGTGCTTTTGCCATGAATTTCCAGTATGGCCGTGGGCCAACCACTCGCTCAACTCCAATCACTGATTCTCATACCCGCACCGACGATCCCGGTCGTCACTTGCCAACTTTCGCCGCTGCGATCGTCACCCCGCTGACGCAGACTCGACGTGGCTCGCCCAGATCCCACAATCCGTCGTGGCGATCAAGCGCACAACCGACCAGCCTATCGTCAGCCCGACAGGACTTTCCGACTCACACCAAACACTCCGCCTAGCCAGTGCTTCCCGGAAGCTGGCTTGGGAGTCGAGAACGTAAGAGAGCTTTGCGGACGCGTTTGCGGAATTTATAGCTGCGGGAAGGAGCGTAAGGGAGGGAGAAGGCAGGGGGAAAGTCGAGGTGTAAGAGAAGAAGCAAGAGGAGAAGACTTAGCGGGGAGCGTGCTGCGGAAGCCATGTTGATCCTTTAGAACCCAATGGTCGGCCAATCAGATTCGTCGCACAATAGGAAGATCCTTTTGCTCAACGCGTCTGATTGGTCAGCAGGGGTGATCGGAGGATTAACCGGGCTCCGTAAGTCAAGGTTGATGAGCGGGAAGAGATGAAGCGCGAAAAGCAGCGCGGGACGGATCCAAGATTCAGATGATCAAGAAAGGGAAGCAAGCGCGCAAAAAGCAGCGAGGGAAAAACAGTTGCGATAGGAGAAGGAGAAGAGGGTGGGGGGGGGAGAGTGTGGGGGAGGGATGGCGCGGGAAATAAGGAGGAGGATGCTCGCATGTGTGGTGCCGACAGCAAAAGAAAAAGGCACCGAAACAGTTACAACTTGCCTATATCCTACACCAATTCAAAAATTGAAATCACCATATCCGCGCGCGAAAGTCGACGCGGGAAAAGAGAGTGCTATGCCTATCCGTATTCTCACAAAATTCCTAGAGTTTTCTCTGACATGACCGAGAACATTCATGCAAGGAAAAAGATACGTCGGGCTGCGCTTATTCTGCAATTCCTAACTGTCGAGCCTGATTCCCAGTGCGCTCGCTAAGGCGCGCGAAATTTCCCATGCATTTCCCGAATTGCAAAAAGACGGAATTCCGAAAACCAATAGAACTTCCGAAAAATGGGGGCTCAAACGAGGTGCCTGAAATCAAGAAAAGTGACGGGGGTTCCGTGGGGTCGGTATGGTACACAACGAGGTAGTAGTCCAAGGGGGTACGAAAGATAGCATGGGGTCGGAAAGTAGTTTGTCACATATGTGACGCGCACGGGGTTCCAAAATTATGCGATCTGCAGATTGCATGAAAGCTTGAACAAAGGGAGGGGACGAAGAAACAGGAAGAAGTACAAGGAACGAAGAAGCAAGGCGAGGTAGGAGCTCGGATCAGCATGATGAGCTGGCGACAACATCCGTGGCAAGATCTTCGTGGATCGCGCCGGCTCGTGCGGTTTCGGATCCCGCTCTCTGCAGCCCTGTCATATGCAACCCTGTGTGTCCGAAAATGGATTCAACGTGGGTTCCGCGTTCAAAAATTGAACGCGCGTTGAATTCACGTTGAATTCCCGTTTAAATCTCCGTTGCGAATGAACGGGGCCCGCAATGATTTTTTTTCTGGGCTAAATATAACCCCATATTTTTATTTTTATTTTTTTATGTTTGAATATATTTTAAAAAAATCAAAAACATAAACACAATGAAAAAAAATGAAAACAGAAAGTGAAATGAGTGTTTTTTTTTTTGGGTTTCACAGAGATTTTTTAAGGGCTAAAAAAAAAAAAAAAAACAAATAAAAAATACAGGGTTGTAGATCTTTCAAAGATGCACAACAATATTTTTGTTTTTTGTTTTTGTTTTACTTCATGTGTTTATAAAAAAATCAAAACCATAAATAAAAAAAAAAGGAAAAAAAGACACGCACTCACGCACAGACACAGACACACACACACACACACACACACAACACACACAAACACATAAACACACACACACAGACACACAACATACAGAAACACACATAAACACACACACA